GAGATGCCCTCTCAAAAAAAAAAAAAAAAAGGTCCTTGGCTCCCTGACTGGTCTGATTGGTCAATTTCATCCTCCAACAGGAAAAGGAAGGAGGAAGTGCATAGAGTAAAGGGAACTCTATCACTTTAAGGCCCCAAAGTCTAAGGAATGACATAAAATAAACAGATTTTGATTTTGTTGTTGTTCTTGGGCAGCATCGCTAGATTTTCCTTTTTTAAAACTTCCCCCTAAAGTTAAGGCTGGAAAGTAGTCAAACAATAGCAAGTGAAAAGAAGAGACTTGATGGGACTAATGAGGTAAGGCTACTCAACATAAGAGGCCAGTTCCACGGACCATCAGGTGCCTTGGGGACTAGGCATGTTTTGTTCCTCATCCCAACAATGGTAAAGAGGAAGGGAAGAACGAGCTCTCACACACCAGCCTGTGGTTCTTTCCTAGAAATTAAGAAGAGGGCAAAGAGTGAAGAGGTCACTTTGCTCTGAGATTATCAATGAGGCTGGACCTCATTCTCATGGCTAATCCAGGCTCAGGTAATATAGGATGGCTTCTGCAAGGGTACAGAGCACTAAGTGAAAGTGAATTTAGCATGACACTGTATTTCAAATTTCACTCTGCCACCCTGGCTTGCTGGTCTCTACCCTTGCTTACACCAGTCATACTCACAAGACAGGAACTACCAGAAATGTTAACACCACTTTTCTCATCTCTCTCCAGTATTACTCTTTTCCTTACCAAGACTGTTTCTGTACGAAAGTCAACTCCTGCCCCAAAACATCTAGAATTACATGATCCAATGCAGCAGCCACTAGCTACATGTAGCTAAACAAATTCAGATGAACTGAAAGTAGGTAAATTAGAATTTTAGCTCCTCAGTCACATAGCCACATTCTGAGTATTCATCAGCCATGGGTGGCTAGTGGCTACTGCATTATATATTGCTCTAGTTAACTGCATTGCTCTATGCTACACTTTTATTCCCCCCCACCCCCAAATCATTCTTCTGGCCCTTTTACTTCCATGGCCTAAACTGCCTATTACTCTTATAGATTCCCAGATCTCTGAACCTCTCCCCTTAAAACTCCAGTTTGTTTTCACCTGGGTACCTGGCATTTTTTCAGACTTAGATTCTTCTGTACTTTCTCCTGCCTCCCCAAAGCAGGACCATGTGACCTCCCTATACCTTTAAAACCACCATTTTCCTAGGCTCAAAACCAGTCACGCTTGACTTTTCCTCCTCACATTTAGTGGTCAAACCCTTCAAAATACACATCTTCGGTGCCACCTCTCCACTACTCTAGCTCAAGACTATTATCTCTGGGAATACTACAGCACCTGAATCTGGTGTTTCCCAAAGTGTGGCACAGGCACTGTCAGTGGCTTGTGAGATTTCAGGCAGTATATATTTATGAGCTTTAAAAAACCTTCTTAGCTATAGCATTTTAATGTGCATTAGAAAACACCAGCACACATGAAACCTTCGATTTCAAATTAGAATTATATAGAGTAAGAATATAATAAATTTGAATATAAGAGTAAATCTGAAAGATACAACGCAGGCAGCATGTGAATATGGCAAAGCCACCACATGGTGTGCAGATGACTGAAATCTGGGAATCCTCGTCTTATGGATGGATTGTGATAATCTGCCCCCCTTACAATAAATTCTTAGCTTAGCGGTACTCAGACTAGAACATATCCCTGCTCAAAATCTCCAGCAGCATCCCCATCCCCTATCTACAAAATGAAAATGAAAACTCGCAGCCTGATTTTGGCACACCCGTCCCCTACTCTATCTGTATCTACCTTTACAGCTACTGTGTCCTTCCCATCTCTGTTGGTGCCTTTAACCCTTCTGCTTCTCTCTGACTCAAATGCTCAATACCCACTATCCCTCAACCAATTTTTGCTTGTCAAAAATCCAATTTTTTGGAACCCAAATTTTAACATGTCTATTAAGTACCCATTACACGCCTCCTCCTGTGATTCCTTTTTAATCATCCCTGACTCCCAAAAGAATCAATCCTCTTCCCCTCTCTGAACTCCCACGTTATTATTTGTGGCACTTATCACACACCATCTTTGGCTTTACATGTATGTTGTCTCTCCTCCTAGATTCTGAGCAACCTGAGACTAGGAATAGTGCCTCCATCTTTGAGGATTTCTGTTCCCACCTGAATTACTTTTGCCTAGACTATACCAGTACGTGTCAGCTGAATAAATAAACTGGTAGCCTCATCTCAAAAGGCTGGGTGGCAGGACAAAAAGAAAACTGATCTTGATGAAACCTAGTTTTAGATTAGAGAAAACTTCTCTGCCTGGCTATATCTGTGTAAAAGATAAGCAAGTTCTAAACACATACTCTGCTGAGAAAGTGAAGGACTAAGTGAGTAACACCAAGGTACTTAAACAAGACAACCCCACTGACAGCTACACTATCTGGATTGAACCATCTCTACTGTATAAATTGGAATAGGAGTTTCTAGAATGTTGATATGTAGTTCTATAATATAAACCAGGAACAGTTTTACTAGCACAAAGTTATGATACTTATGTATGTAATAAATCATTCCCACCTTGTGGGTATTAGTTTTTCTAGCAAAAACCATTTTATTACTTGTCTTGTATCCTACTAGCACATACAAGCAGGCAAATGGTAGTAAGCCTCAAATACGTAAGAAAGGTTTAAAGAAAAAAAACATAAAACTTGAAAATTCTATCCATTATGTATCTTTCTATGACTTGGGATGACATACTAAGTCAATTATAATGGCAATATGTGAGTCCACTGGTGTTCTGAGCATTACCATCTGAACCACTGGTAAAAGGCAGAGAATATGTATTGGGAGTCATGTCAATGGTCCCTCAACCTCACTCCATCAAAAGAGGGGAAACTTAAGAGAGGATAGAAAAACTGCAAGTGGAATGACTTACGAACTTGAAAGTAAAGGACTTAGATGATCTCATTCAACTTGAGTGTAAGACTAGAGGCTCCTCTTAAGGAGTCTCTAGTCATCTACCATACTTGCATTGAAATGTCAAGAAAAAATAGACACACACAAAAGTGGCTTTGATTTTGTAAGTCAGAAGAGGGAAAGCCTACAATAGCTGCTCCCCACATCACACCAAGGCTCCTTCTTAGGGACAGCAGCAGCTTTGTCAATGACTCGAAGGCAGAGTGGCATGATGCTTCCAGCAGCTTAACATTTTAATTTGGGGTGGGAGGCGTGGAGAATACATGGTTGCTTTGTGCACCCCCCACACACATCCTAATGCCTTGGAGACCAGCCAGGCCGACCCAAATGGAATCCAGAGCGAGAGTGGGGCGTTGGGCTCCCAGAGGAAAGGGGGCAGATCCAGAATAGAGCAGAAACGGTGGTAGTTATCTGTATGAAAAAGTAAGGAGACTCTAGGTGAGAAGGACTAGCATCAACCTAAACAACGGGGAGAAAGGAAGAGGAGAAAAAGGAACAGGTGGCGGTAGGAATGGTAAGAGCCACACACTACAGTGTGGGTCACTTGGCTTCTTTTCTGTGTTAGTGGGAAAGATACAAAGAAGCAGATTAGCGCCAAGGATCAGGGATCAGGGATCCACAGCAAACAGATGAAAAGTTTCCAACAACTTTTTCTGGTGCTTTTTACTACTTGGCTTGCTCTGGGGCTCAGCTTGATTCTTGAATTTGTATTTCCAATCATGAGTGTTTCCCCTGAATTTTAGCACAGGGCACATATCAAACACACCCAGGCCTTTTGTTATGCAGAGTTAGGGCCCAAGTCACTAGTTGTACAATGACTTGACTCTACCTTCAGCAGCGTCCCTTCTGGGAAAGCTAAATTTGAAACAGAAAAATCATGATGGTTTATTTATGAAGGGACTACGAATAAAAAGTACAATTATATGCAGATTGGCATTTACCACTGATCCAAGATCAAATGCCTCCCCAGCTTTTGCCAACAAGTAACCAGCACCAATGTTTTCAAGATAAGGGCAGAGACTCTAGTTTCCAGAGGACAAAACCAAAGCACACTATGCATGGCCTGTACCCCAGCTACCCACAAGCCAAGACCCAGGCCCACTCTGCTGTCAGATAGTTACATAGAGGTCATGTCATTGAGGGCGTGGTCCAGCTCCTCGCTAATGGCCTTGTACTTCAGTTTCTGGGCATAGAGCTCATCTGGACAGGCACAGGAACCACGGGGAGGAATGAGGGGATAGAGTGAAAGGTATCAGAAGCAGATGAAGAGAGGGAACCATTAGCAATTAAGGAAAATATGACCGTGGGTCTATTACCACAGTTAGGAAACATCAAGACTGGCTGGCAGCCATGATAGGTCATTTTCAGTTCCACTGTCCCCCAGAACCACTCAACTTCTTGACACCTCTATAACTGACTACAGCAAGGGTTGAACTGAGAACCTGGGTGTAGTCATGACTAGAAATTCCTATTATAAAAGGCGCTCAAGAAGATACCACTCCCACCCCTTTTAACCCAATTCCTAGCAGTGATAATGCTTAATTTAATAAAAATAGAAAAGGGAGAAAGTACACGGTAATATTCAGACACTTCTCTACCTACCAAGAGTGACGAGTACTCTTGGCTCTCTGCTCTACAGGCTGCTTCCTCAAACTCTCCCAAAGAAAGAACTACCTGTTACCCACAGCGTCTCAATGAAGCGCACCTCAAAGAGCTCTCAGAGCAAAGTACTTTGCCTTGTGAGGGTGGACACAGTTGTTAAATTGTGGGGACAGGCAGTACTTTGTGAGCCCCTGGAACTAGTGAGGTCTGAGGCACGGCTACTCCACAGCTGTGCCTCTTGGAGGGGTGCCCCCACAACTGAACTGGTGAGCAGGATGGGGTGACACACGCTCTTGCTGCCTCTCCAAGTATGGTTACCACTTCAACCTGGGGACCAAGATTTAAGACTACCAAACTGGAGAAAAATGTAGTCATTACCAGTCTCCTCCAAGGGAAGAATGTAAATTCCAGATTATTAGGTAGTCTTATTAAAGGGAAAGAGTAAATGTAAAAATCCAGTTCTAGGGTTTGACCCATTTCACCTAGCTGCGGCATGGGACAAGGCATAGGATGAGTGTCACGTCACTATTAACTCCCTGTGGTGTATAGGGAAAGAGGTTAACGGCCAATGGGCAAGGTCTTCCACTGTATTTCACTATTTTAATCCCACTTGCAGGCTCCATACCTTCCAAATCATCAATTGTCTTTTCCAGCTTGGCTACCGATCTCTCAGCAAACTCAGCACGGGTCTCTGCCTAGGGAAAACATGAAACCAGACACAATCAGAGATGAACAAGACAAAGAGAAGGATTCTCCACTTTTTCCACCTTTTCCTCCACACCTTTCAGAACCAAAAGCCAGCTAGCCACTGTAATGCCTTATATACCTCTGAATGTTTTAGGTCCTTCCCTACCATCAGCTCACCTCCTTGAGTTTATCAGTAAGAATCTTTATCTCTTCCTCATATTTGTCTTCTTTTTGAGAGTACTGTAAGAGAAGTAGAATATAAGTTTCAGAGCAGAAATTACACGGACAACATCCCTCCACCCCCTACATTTACTCTTACACTGAATAGCACCTTGGATTTAATGTGCTGAATGGTCCATGAGAAAAAGCAATGCCCGTATCTGGACAATAGGTCCTTAAATCCCCAAATCAATGTCCTTAGAGCCACGGTACCCTCAGATTAGAATTCTCCAGGACCTTTATTTTTAAAGTGGACCTAAGCATCAATCTTACTCAGATAAACCCAGGGAGTATTTTTCCTTCCTCCTACTTAATGATTAGGTGTAGTGACCACCCCCCCATGGCCACATGGCTAAAACAGTTCCACATGATGGTAAAGATAGGCGATCTGTCTTGATTGCTTATTCGGTCTCAAATCTCCTATCTATTTGTTGCCCCCATCTGTTTGCTGGAAAAGTTTTTAGGACCCATTATTACTGCTGTTCTGGAAAGCACTACGAGCATGAGGAGAAAATGAGCCCAAGCACCCGAGACCGTAAGTTGTCTTAACTAAAGCAATCAGAGTACACAGGAATTAGCAGTAAGTCCACAATTTGCCCAGAGGGTAGGTGGGTAGGCAGAAGATGCTTCTCACTGGATTATATAGGGAATGGGTTTTTCCACTGTTTCTTCAAGGGCAGGGCTGGGCCCAGGCCCCAAAGCCTGTCACTTTCACAAACCAGCCCCTACCTTCTCCGCCTGAGCCTCAAGAGACTTGAGGTTGTTGGTGACATTCTTCAGCTCCTCCTCCAGCTCAGAACACTTACTGTGAATATTTTAAATACCGCAGGAGAGGAAAGGGGAAGAAGAGAATAAAAAAAAAAGGGAGAGAGACACACAGACATGAATTGAACCTATACGTAGAGAGAGCTGGAAGGCATCCTGGGGAAAAGAGAAGTTCCCGGGTGACCTGAGCAAGCAGCAACCCTCCTCCCTCTACCATAGAACATGTCAGAAACTGGACCCTCCTGGGCCAGGACTCAGAATGTTTGGGTACTAATAAGGTAAACAGTTGAGAGAAATCACTACCAGAATCAAGTCTTAACTGCTACCTGGGCTGAAGGTGTGAACAGATGACCAACTCAACTAGCCCCCACATCACCAATGGAAGTAGAGACCCTGTGGAGAGGCAGTGAAGCAACTAGGGAAGAAGAGATGAAAGATGCCAAGTGGAAAGAATGGAGCATTCCATGAAGAGATGAGAAAGCACTCAACAAATCAACGAGTGGAGGGGAGGCAGCTGCAAAACAAAAACCAAACCAAACCAAACCAAACCACACATGTAACCTCTCTGTGGGTTTAAGGGTTAGTACCTTTTCTTCAGCAGCACTCAGACACTTCAGGTTCTGGTCCATCAGTCTGATTTGCTCATCCATCTCTCGGCAACGGCTGTTAGTGATAATCACGGGGATCGCACAAGCCAGGTTGTGGGGAGGGTGAAAGGTCAAAAAGGGACACAGCAAGAAAACAAGCAGCAAAACGGAAAAAACCAAAATTCAAAAAAATGGGAAGAAAGCACCACCATGGTCATGATATGTCATGTCTGGGAAAGAGGAATGCAACGGAAGCGCAGATATATATGCATCAGCACTCACTTTGTTATACAAGGCCCAGGAGGTGCCAACAGGAGAGCAGGTCACATCCACCCTTGCTATAAAGTTCCCCAGCAGCTTGGCCAATCTTGTCCCCAGCAGGGACAGATCTGAAGTCAGTACAGCCACTTCAATGGCTCAAGGAGAAACAGACCCCAGGTGAAAGGACCCAGTAGGACCCTCTGGTTAGGGCTTCACCGTGGATTAGCCTGTATTTTCCCTTAATCTGCAAATCCTCCCTACAAGAAATAAGGAAGCCCTTTTTGTTATCTGTCACTATACAAGAGAGTAAGAAAAGCCCAAAGCCATTTCTTAGGGCCTAAAGAACCCCACTTATAAAGAACGCCCACTCTCTAGGCCCTGTTTAACAAGGCGAGAGGAATGCTAGTTTGTTCACAGTAAAGCCCAAGCCAAAGGGGAAGAGACAGAATGGTATGGCAAGATTTGGGGAGCAAGATACTCACGACTCTGCCAGCTCAGCTCGTTCCTCTGTGCGTTCCAAGTCCCCTTCAATGATCACCAACTTCCGAGCCACCTATGGGAGAAGATCCAGGAACAGCTCAGAGAAGCAAAGGAGGAGCCGTTTTCCTCTCGTGGTTCTTTTCAGGAGCCCAATGTCACTGAAGGGAGAGGGCTAAACCAAAGGCGCCGTACCTCTTCATACTTTCTATCTGCCTCTTCTGCAATGTGCTTAGCTTCTTTGAGTTGGATTTCCTGGAGTTCCATCTTTTCTTCATCTTTTAAGGCTCGGTTTTCAATAACCTTCATACCTCTGCCAGAAACAATGAAGACCAATGCAGCATTGACACCCTGAGCAATCTGTCATCAGCGCCACTCCGAGGGACCGAGAATTGTAACTTTTAGAGCCCATTCCTCTCCGCTTGCAATTCAAAAAGAATTCCCAAAGCATCCTCTCTACCTTTGGTTATTTAAAACTTTACCTTGTTAAAAAAAAAAAAAATACACTTATTATGTAAGTAAATATTTAAGAGTATAGTCTAAGAACATAAAACAAAAAGTCTCCGCACTTCTAGTTCTGCTTGCTCAGTAATCTCTTACTTCACAATCCTTCTAGAAATGTTACATATACATAAAATGTACAAAGTCTCATTCCCACTTCCCCAGTCCCCAAAGAAACCATATACTACAATGATCTACAACTTGCTAAAACCTGGACGCTATTCTGTCATTGTATACTCATAGCTGTCTTACTCATTTTCCCAGCTGTACTTTAATATATTCCCAATAGGGCACTTTAATTCTGAAAAGCCTTAGTTTGATCCCATGAAAATTGTCACACACCTTTGTTCCAGTTTAGCTCACATGGCAAGGAGCCAATTGGCTATTTTCAACAAAGATGAGCTGTGATTCTTTCAAGGACTGTGGCTTTCAACCCCAGAACACATTAAAACTAGGAATTTTAACAACAGCAATGCCAGCCCCTCTCACAATGGATCCCAGTTGAACAGGGTGGGATCCAGGCATTCTGTATTTTTTAACTCCCCAATGGTCCCCACTCCTTGCCCCCATGATTCTGACAGTGCAGCCAGGGTTGAGAGCACTTCATAAAACACTGATTGATGAACTCCACGTCCAGCGTTTCTGATTCACAGATCTGGGTAGAAGCTGAGAATCTCAATTTCTACCAGGTTGCTAGGTGCTTCTGCGCTAAGACCTCACTTTGAGAACCACTGCTTTAGGGGAACTAATCTCACAAAGAAACAAGTAAGTTGATTCACTAAGTGGAAGCCATCTTGGCAACCTCATTTAAGGATCAGTAGATCAATTTATAGAGAAACACTGGTTACACATGGGTCACAAGGTCCAGGTAACCTTTACTGCCAGTAGAGAGAATACACAGAACAGGAGGAAAGCAGATCCGTAAGACAGGTACTATTTTAAAAACAGGTCTATAAGGAAACCTTCATCAGAGCCATTATGAACTTCTGAAATCCACACTTCACCAGGCCCCTCCACACACCTCTCGCTCTCATCAGCAGCTTTCTCAGCTTCCTCCAGCTTTTGCAGGGCAGTGGCCAGGCGCTCCTGAGCGCGGTCCAGCTCCTCTTCAACCAGCTGGATCCTACGGTTCAAGGAGGCCACCTCAGCCTCAGCCTGCATTTGAATGAAAGAATGGAAAAGGGAAGCAGAGGCATGGTGAAAAGAAGCAGGACTACGACAGTAAGACTGGGGTTGACCACCATGAAGGAAGCCAGACTAGCAGGGTAGAAGCTCAGATACATAAGAGCTAGCTGGTATGACATCATATCCATATAACCATAGGTTAGATATGTAACACAATTATATACATATATGACTATTTAGCTATATGCATATTTGTATATGTATTTATAATCTATGATAGTTTATATACATGATTGTATATATACACTCTTTATACATATATATATTTATGTATTTATGTTTATGTGTGTGCGCACACACACACACACACCCATATCTATTATTTTTCTTTTTTCCCCTCCTTTTCCCATCAATGAATTCCCATACGTTCCACAGGAAGAGTGTTTTAAAACTCAGTTCCTTGCCCAGACCAGTGTCAGTTAGTACCACCCTCTTCTGGATTCAGTTCAAATTCCTGAAAAAACAAGGGTCAGAAAAGGAAGCCAATGAAGGGTTCCTTTTGCCTGAGCTCTGGCCTAGAGGTGTGGTTCACTCTTAAGCAATTTTCTTCTAAAATTGGGGGGAAGGGGAGTAACTTGCTGCCCATCGCCCCACCTTTAAAAAATTGACAAGGAGCTTCTTCTGGCTAAAATTATCTGCATTGAGGACATTCCAAAAAAAACACTGGGAGCAGAAGATAACGTTCCTCCATGCCTACCACCACTCCACCACATTTCTGAACTGTGACTCCTATTCCTCTAGTCATTTCCTTAGCATCACCCTCCAGCACAGCTTACGGCAATCCTCTCCCTGGCTTCTACCACACAATGAATAAAGCACAGGCTAGATGGAGTCCAAGTAATCCCACGTCTCCTCCTTGGCAATGGTGTAGGGAGAGAAGACAGCCTACATGTGGATGTATTCTAAGGGCAGAAAAGCCTCCCTCCTATGTCTGTTTTCCCCTCCTCACACCTTTACTGGTGGAAAGAACACTGACAGCCACAACTGTACAAGAATTCAATCTGCTCTGCAAGGTACCCAGTTCAGATGCTTATCCAAGTGCTTGGTTAACGTGATCTCCCTTCTACAGCCCAGACTGTGCTTGAATTCTATTACCCTGATTTCCTCCTGGTAGTCAGGAGTAGGGGAAGCTATAGAAATGATCTGGGCCGCAGCCCCTATGGGGAGGAATGTAGCCCAAAAGACTCTTGTTAAGAATCAGGTTATTTGGCATAAAAATTTCCAAATACAAACATGGGAGGTTCAAAGGACTAGGGGGCTAGGGCTATATCACACGAACCCACAGGAACAGAAAACTGGGAAGTCTACACAAACTAAAATTACTAAGAAACCATCTGTGTCTGTAATGATATTATTCAAAATATCACAAAGGCAAGTCTTCTCTGGTGCTGTCTCTTCCAGGAAAACAAATGTTCCCTAGAACAACACACATTGTACTTCACAAGTTCAAAAGGGCCGACAGGTCAAGATTACAAGAACAGGTCAGGCTATCAGGCAAGAACTATGAAATCCTGCCCTTTTTCAGATGCCTAGAATTTAAAAAGCAAAGAATGGAACCAGATTTGGAAGAAACTCATAAAATCTAAGTCCCCAAACAGCTCACCAGTAGTTACCAAAATGGAATAGAAGATAACAGGCTATGGGGGCGGGGGTGTACAGTTTCCATGACAACAAGCTGGCTCGGGCAGTTTCTCCCACAAACCAGCATTTACAATAGAATTCTTCCCAAGGCTGCAAAGGGCGGAGGAGAAAACACATCTTGGTGGCTTCGCAAGAGCATGTGCACACTGAGCAAGCCTGTATCAAAAGAACCCTTGACAGGAGGTCCAGCAAAAGCTTCAGAGACCCCCCTTGGAGCTGGGAGGGGGGGCAGTCCCTGTTCTCTTTTTCCTTCTCCCACAGAGAATCAGTTCTCTTTCCAATTAAACAAAGGCTTGCAGAATCAAGATGTTACTACGTTTAAAACAGTAAGGGAAGACACCTGACTTTTCCTTCAAGAGGGAACCCATGCACAATGCCCGTCCCTTACAGGTCAGTGAGGTTATACCAAGACATTGTGTGGGACTAACTTCTGCAAAACCAAACGGGAAACACACCCTTGGGAAACATTAAACTTTATGCTATTCTAATCATCCTAGGTTTAGCACGTCCAGATGTGGCTTTGATCTTTCAGAGCCTGCCCATCTTTGCCAGGCTTGAAGGATACCTTCCAGTTCTTCTTTCAGGTAACAGGATTCTCCACTGGCCAGGAAGCAAAGATCCCAAGGGAGGAGGTGGGAACACAGAAGCTTTTTGGTTACTTTAGAAGATGGCCAACCAGAGTTTCAGCTCTGAAAAGTTTGGTTTAAATGCTACCATCCTCCAGGCCGGAAACATTTCTCCAAGTAAGCCAATGCCCCTCAAAGCAAGAAACTAACAGGACACTGGCGCTTGAAGGCAGATGATCAGGCCCAAGGATCCCCACGGAGGGGATGAGCCTAAATCTGGCATTCTGCTACTCTGGGGTGTCTCTTTTTGGACAAAAGCCACAGTTGAAATTCAAAGAAAACAAGTAATGGAAAAGTTAGGCTTGAGCCCTGAGAGTAAAGGACTGCTCCAGTTCACTGTGCTCACGAATGTTTCTAACCAGGGAGCTACTGTGTCCTCAGGGACTTTAAATTTCACCAGGGGGAGGAGGCAAGTTGGAAGGAAGGGAGCAGAGCTATCTGCCCCAGGGTAAACAAAGGTGGAGTCTAAACGGAGGCACTCGGAGCAAAGGGCTATTTGCCTCTCCTCTTTGAGTGTGTGCTCTAGCATGAAGGGAAGAGAAATGTAATTAGCAGAAGAGCAAATCTAAACCAAGAAAGGTGATAACAGCCTGTTGCTCAGTCCCCCAGACCCCACAAACAGGAGTCACACAATAGTCAAACATTCTAACCCCCTCCAGAGACTAGGAATTTGGGAATAAGGCCAGAATCAAACCTGGTCAAAGCTCACTTACTCTTTCAATAGTAATCCTAAATTTTTTGGACCTGAAAAAAAAGGGGGGGAAATACCCGGGGAGGTTAGCAGAGGCACTAAAAAACAGATAGCTGTACACTTAAAAAATGGTTAAAACGGTAAAATTTACATTACGTGGATTTTTACCAATACCCAACAACAAAAACATAAGGAAAAAGACTGCATTTAAATATTGTTGCCCTCTGTTTAAGTTTAGTAAGTAGTGCAAAGGAGATTCAAAATTGAGAGTGGATTTGTCAAGGTGCTACATTATAAAAGGGAGGTCTCCAGGCCAAAAGCAGAAAAGGATGGACACCAGAACAACTCCTAGTCTCAGCTTTGATCTCATCCATCTTCCCAACAATGGGCTGATGTTCACACAAAGCAACCAGAAAAATAATTAAGTGCCAATCGCACTGAGAGCATGCAATACCATCAGGGAGCACTGAGCTCCCAGCTCCAGAGGCAGGAGGAGCCTGTAAAACCCACATTTCAGAATGCCCTAAGAGGATAACAGGTAGCCCAAGAAACACCCCTACTTCCTTCACTTGAGGGGTTCAAAGTTCACCACAGCAGAGAAAGATCAGTCTCTCTCCAGCTGGGGAGTGGAAGATACTGGTTTCATCAGTATTTAACTATCACCCTACTTCCCCATTTGGGGACTTCCTTGCTAGACCTCAACTCTGCGAGCAAATTTAGCAGCCTCTGAGTGAGGGAGCAGCTTAACACCTGAAAGGCACTGGCTCTTGTGTCTGGAGTCATAGGAGTCCCAAAGCAGGGTGGGGGGAAAATATGAGACAAATTTTCCTGCAAGGAAAACTGCCAAATCCTGGGGGGTCGGTCGGGGGAAAAGGGTATCTATCATCCACCCTAGAGCTATTCCTAAACGTTGAGACTAAGACTCTGCCGCTCCATACATGGCTAGTTCACTCAGCCATCTTCTGTCTTCCCCTTTAAGGGGATCTAGGCTCCAGAACAAAGGAGAGGAAAAAATATCACTAGTCATAGTCACCCAGCCAGTCCATCACACTTGCACTGATAATTAAAAGTTACTGGCATAATAGAGAGGAAAATCCCGAGAGAAAAGATGACCAAGGACAACCTCCCAGTATTTCCACACCTATTATAAAAAGAAATGAGTATTCTGACAACCTTTAAATGTTAACGTGAGGGGCGGCTAACCCCTCCCTTTCCCCCTAAATTAAGTCTCAGCCACTTGCAGAGGAGCAGCCAAAAAGAAAGAACGAAAAAAAAAAAAACAGGGAAAGAACAAAAATTCCAAAAAAACCACAAGCGTTCTTTCATTAAACCTTCAAATTCCAGCAACAGTTACTTTCCTCTACGGCCTCAAGATTCTCCAAAACCAAACCTCAACGAAGGGGAGCAGCTCCACCCATCAGACTGCACCCTGGACCTTGGAAAATCTTACGGTTTACTACAACTAGTATCTCTTCTGAACAAAAAGGCAGTTTCAAGACTCGCCATTCATTCCATCAACATGTTATGTTCTGACTTGAACAAATACATATTTACTGAACTAAAAAAACAAAGACACTGGTGGATAACTGGGAAAGTATCGAGTAACATCACTAGACGTCTCTCAGAACTCATTACTTTGTCTCCATCAACCAGAAACGACACAAATCGGCACTCCCATTCGATCGATTCTCCGCCACATACACCATTATCAGCTCTCTTGAAAATGTACTTGACTGGTTCAGCTTGCACTGATCACACTTCAGCAATAAAGACTTGATTCTGGCAAGTTCCTGCCTTCCAGGTCACCATGGGTAGAGCCAGGCAAGTTTTGTTGGCTCCTACATTTGCACTAACAGAGAGTGAAGAAGTACATTCTCTTTCTTTCTCGCTTCATGTCGATTGAGTGTGTGTTTAGCTGTGGCAAGGGCTCCCCCCTAAGAGAAATGGGCCCCAGGCCGGAGGATGAGGCGGTGCTGTGGCCTCAGCCTCCTCCAGGGAGGGCACCGCGCTTCCTCTCGGCCGACTGCTGCCTCATTTCCTGAGCAGGAGGAGGGAGGGGCGGAAAAGCTGCTACCGAGCCAGGCCGGGGGCTTTCCGGCGGTTCCCACCCCCCAAGTCCCCACCCTTGTACGGTAAGCTCGGCTATGCCCCCTCCAGACGAGAGAGGCACCCACCTATTCTTACCCCCCCTGGGCCGGAAACCTCAAAGGGGAGCAAAGTCCCACCCCCCTCGCGGCCCCGCTTCTCAGGGAAATGGGGGAAGGAGAGGCTGCCGAGCCCCTCCCCCGGCCGCGCCCAGCTCCGAGGGATTGAATGAATGAGCTGGGGAAAAAAAGAGGAGGAAAACCACTCCCCAGGCCACAGGATACTCAATTCCTTCAAAGGTCAAGCCTGCACGCCCGAGCACCCAGTTCCCCTCGATCGCTCGACGTCCAACAGAAGCTAAGCCCCACCCATCCTCCGGACTCCAACTTCATCTCTGACTCTGCCGGCTGAGGACCGTGCTCCGTCGCAAAAAAAGAGACCCACTTGGAGTCCCGGCTGCTCCCGCGTCTGCCCCTTCCTCACGCGCCTCGCCCTCTAGGTACCTGTTCCCGGGCCCGCCTTTCTCCCTCCACTTCCCGCTGGAGGCGCTCGGCCCGCTCCTCTGCATCATCGGCCTGCTGCTGCAAAACCTGGATCTTGCGCTTCACCGCCTCGATGGTGGTGATCCCGGCCATTGTGCCCACCCAGCTCCTGCTCGCGCTCGGGCTCCTGCCTCCTCCTCTCGGCGTTGCAGCCACTTCTCACCCCTACTTCCGCCTGCTCCGCCCTGAAATACCGGAACTCGCCCACCCGCCCGGATGTGATGTCACTCCCGCCGTGCCCTCCCACCACCCGGCCGGCGGGAAGGCAATCCACTGGAGGGAGGCGCGCTTCGCGCTGAGTGGGGAGCGGCTTCCGAGTCGCTCCGGCCTTTACCAGCCTGTTAAGGGGGGCGGGATTGGGCAGAGGGAGGGTTACCATGGTAACAGGAAGGTGCGTCAGTGTCTAACCTGAAGCCCGCAATGGTTGGCCTACAAATACTGTGCTGCCCTTACGCTGCCGCAGTTGACCCCTCACACCCCCACTGCTGACCCTCCACCACCTACCCGCGAGGGTACCCTGTATCCTCTTTACAAGACAAACTTCCTACAAGGTTCCACTTCCACCCACCCGACACTGTTTCCCAAACCAGGTGCTAAGAAAAGCCTAGACTCTCTGGGCCTCATCTTCAAAAGAGCCCCACTCTGCAGCCTCCTTCCAAAGTCCTCTAAGGTAGGTTGTCGTCCATCTCCTGAAAGACAACGAAGGGAATTACAGGGATAGGAGAGAAGGGCAGGTTGGCAAAGTTCTCATTCTGTTTGGTATCAGTTTTGAACTTAGGTGTTTCATTTAAAATACTAATCTTCCCTCGTTACTTTTGAGAGTCAGTATTCACAAGCAATTTGCCAAACCAACTAGCCCCTCCAAACCTTAAATGACCTACGACTTGGTAATTCATCATTGCTTACAATTCCTTCTGTAGATGAGAAAAATATCATGCCCCCATTCTATAAGGAAGGAATCCTCTGTTATGGATCAGCGTTACCAGTATGAGTGCATGGAAAAACTACTGTGGAACCTCCACTCTGTGTTAATAACTTTCACCAATTTCACTGCCACTTCTGCTTCCAGCCACCCCAAGGAGCTATTTGAGTTAGAAACTGCCCCTATGGGCACTGTCATAGAGAAGTTTTAGAAACACAATTGTAAAGAGATTTGAAATTTATATTATCTTTTTTTTTACTTATTGTATTCCTCCCACCTTTCCAGTAAGTAATCATAATAAACCTCTCCTCTGGTGCAGCTCTTCTTTCCCCTAGAGAATTTGGATGTGAAACAGGATTTAGAATTTGGAATCCTACCCCCTGAAAGGATCGGTAGGTCAGACAGGTGCTGCCCTCAGTGCTGGTTTTGAGGACACTTCCTCCAAAGGCTCTTCCCTATCTCCTTTTACATATACTCAGCAGTGAGACTATTCAGAGGAAACAACTCAGACAAGTAGATTTACTTGGTGGAGTGACCTGTACACTGATTTTTCCCCCCCAGGAATTACCAAGGAAGAGTAGAGTTCTGAGCCTCAGGAATCTCAACCCTGATGACCTAAGAACCTCTACAGCTCTCTTTGGAAGTCTGATCAGGACTTTGGAAGCAGAAATGAGACGGTGTCATCTGGGTGCTGATCAGCAGGGGGCACTATTGCACCTCCTTTTGCCGTAGTGAAGGGGAGAAAGACCTGATCTTAGACGTTGAGAGCACCACTGCGTTCCTCAGGCTAGTAAATTTGAACATAATCTTCTCTTGATCCAAGGGAACAGGTGGATTGACTCCTGATAGCCTTTAAAAGTATGATGGATGGGCAGCAAGGGACCCAATGCTATTGCTTTCCTGGTGATCACAATACAACAAAATATTAACAGGTGTATATATCCATCCTGTCCCATCCTTCCCAAGTCCTCTCCTTAAAAAAAGTATGTGGATGCTGTCCTAACCATGGCACTCTCCTTCCCCCTTGTTTTACACTTCTTGTTTTAATCAGCTTCTGATTTCATCTTGGACTGAAAGGATCCTTAGACATGGTTACACAATGATGTGAATGTTTGTACTGCCACTAACTGTACACTTAAAATGGTTAAAATGGTGAATTTTATATTATGTATTTGTATTGTCACAATAAGAAAAGGGGGAAAAAAGGATCTTAGACAAACTCAGAGATTAAAAAAAAAAAGACGTAGTTTGGACTGAACTTGTCACACCTTTGCCCTTTCCTGTTCAAGCAGTCCTAGCAAATCTTATGCTTTCCAGAAAGTCTTCTCAGATAACCAGAATTCCCTGTGTAAACATGCAGTTATTGACTCCCTCCTCCACCTCTTCCCCTTGTAATTTGCTCTGTTTATTTGTTATTGATCTCAAGGTCAGAAGCTGAGCTATGACCTTCTTTCACATTGGAAAAGCATATTCCCCTTAAAGATGCATATATAATGTTACTGATGACTCTGACCCTTGCTCTCTACTTTAACCCTTGTTGCCTCCTCCTTAATCAGCACTTTTCCCAATTCCTGTAAACATCTCACTTTCCCATAAACTCACTCCCAAACTTTTTCTGTAAAAGGCCACACGGTAAATATTTCTGCCTTTGCGGGTGTAGCAGCTACTCTGTTGTAGAGAGGCCTGGAGACAATAAGTGAACCTGCATGGCGATGTTCCAATAAAACTTTGTACAAAACGAGTCTGTGAAGGATTTACCCCACAGGTGGGAGTTCGCTGACCCCAGCTTTGAGAAAAGAAACCTTTCTTCCTGCTTCCGTCTTAACCTGGCCCAACAGATTTTTGTGCCGTCTGCTCACAATCTTCCTCTTCTCTTTCTTGTTCTCCTATGTGTCTCCGAGGTACTTACTGATTGATTCGGAAAGTTGACAAGGGGAGAGGATATGGATGAGAGTTTTTCTTTTTACCCACACATTACGTATTTAAATGGTTTTTGGTGGATTCTTATAAGATACTGAGTAGACTCTGTCTAGGTGGGGGATGATGATGGTGGTGGTGGTGGCGGTGATGATGTGTGTTGTTTGTATAACAGCTTAAGACAGACAGAAGCCATCCCCGGGAAATTCCTTTATCTTCCCAATGATCTTGATATATTTGCCTACAGTTCCTGTGTCACTCTCCCTCCCAAGATTATAGGTTATATTTGTTTGTTCTTTTTGTTTGCTCCTGGAAACACCTCCTCAGGTCCACATATCAGCTGTTTCAGCCTAAGGACTTTCCCAGAGGGTTGTTACCCGACATCTCGCAAAGCTGCTATTAACCTGACATTGTGCCAATTTTTGAAAACTTCTATCCCCATGCCCATTGAAACCAGAGCTATCTACTCATCTATACCTGGAACCTAGGTTAGGCAGCTCCAGCAGGCCATCAAGCACTTGCCCAAAGCCCTGGGGGTTACCTGTGTTTTTTGCACTTTTCCAAGAAGAGAGAACTAATGGTTTGCAGTGGCCTGCTATGAATGTATATACTACTATGAATATATGTAATGTTGATCTGCTTTGTGTCCCTACCTGACCTTGGGCATGATACACACACACACACACACACACACACACATATTTTTTCCTATTCAATAGCCCTCACCAATTCCCCAGGCTACTGAAAGTTATGGAAAAGCAAAGAGGAGATCTGAAGCCTAACAGCAAAGAGGTCAAATGTGAGGGTCTGAAAACATTTGTGAACAATCCACTCTGTCTCTCTAGCTATTTTGAAAAACCAAATATGATTTAAAAAAACAGATGCTCCTATTTTCCTTTTAACTCAGTGCTGAAAATTGACTGTATTTCCATTAGTCCTGGCACATTCTTTTGCTGGTGTTAAGATTCCTATGTTACTTTTCTTCCAAAAATCTTTCCTATGTAGTCTCTTATTTATCTTTGTGGTAAACTTCAAGGTTGAAGATGAAGGGAAGTAGGTGATTATGGGATAACATGAAGTACAAAAGGGAACTTCTTTCATTTTCATTGGAAAATTCTGACCTAGAGAAGCTGAGTAATTTGTGAAGATGACAGAGTAAGGTCTGGTGGTAAAACCGTTACCTTCTTATTTCTAGTACAGTCTATCTTTCTAAAATCTTCTCTGCTGCACTATGAGCAATGCTTCCTATGGTATGTCCATGGCATAAGGACAGATGCCCACACTGGCCAAGATAAATAAATCCATACAGGGCCAGGGTCAATGTGACCTCCAGTCCCATTGTGAAATTGGAGCTAGCTTTGCTGGGCAATTGAAAGATGAGAGTTTCCCTATTAATATACATATCTACGTGCCAAGACTTGGACACAAAAGCTAAGAATGTGGCATGGGGGAGGAGGTGGGACAAGTGATAGCATCCTGGACTTGGAGTCCCCTCCCTTTGTCCAGGTCTTGGGAAAGATAATTACTTTCCTGGGTTGGGGGTGAGACAAAAATGGGACTTCTACATGTCTTTAACAAAGACCTTAGCCATTACAAGGGTATGCTAGCATGTGGTTGTATGCAAAAATGTACATGGGTAACTATGTCTATGTTCTATGCACTTACAAGTCCATGTGTTTTTGGAATTTAGTCATATTATCGTGAAGGTCTACATATGTAGATGAAACCTACCTCCCATCTATCTAATACTCACATCAGCTGCCTTCTTTTCTGCCAACTCCAGCTTCTCCTGGGCATCCTTCAATGCTTCAGAATACTTGTCCAGCTCATCTTCTGTCCCTTTCAGCTTCTTCTGCATGGCTGCCAGCTCATCTTCCAGCTATAGAAACCCCAAGAGTCACACACAAAACATACATACACAATGGTGCAGGCTCATACTCTGGCTGTTGAGCCCTGATAGACTCCTGAGCCCAGCCTCCATGTTATCATCCCCAGAGAGACATACTGTTTCCCAGTCACTTCAAGCCAACTGCCCCAGGGGCTATGCTATGTATGGCCTTGGCCTGTGACCCTGTTATCTCTGACCTTAACACGGCCAATCCAAATTGGATTTTCATCTAAGATCCTGAGATGGTAGATACCTTAGGTTGTAGATGTCTATGATTCTATTTAAGGGAAAAGAGGTATTGCATGCCATGCTTTCATCTTTTCCTCTAGAAACCAGGTGTTCTTCCAAAACGTGATCCACTCCCACTCAAATCCACCATGGCTCAGAGGGGGCCACAGACTTTCCCCAAGGTCACACACACAGTCTGTCTGAGGCAGATACCCTAGATGTGCTCTGCCCTGTGAGGCTGGGGAAGAAGAGGGGGACCTCCCACCCAAAGAACAAGCTGGCACCAGTGGTCACTGCCTTTCCCATGAAAACTCTCTGCCGTCTCACAGTGTTCCTCACCAGCAGGTGGGAGACACCAAAGCTAGTGCCTACCTGCTTACTTCTTTCTTCTGCCTGCTTTTGCTCAGCTTCAGCTTGCTCTGCACGATCCAGAGCATTCTCCTTGTCCAACTTCAGCATCTGCATCTTTTTCTTGATGGCCTCCATCTTTAGCAGTGGTTGCTGGTAAGCTCACCTATGAACACTGAAAAACTAGAGACTAGGGCAAGAAAGGAGGGGCTGCTGGCTGAGTGACCAGGAGTTCCCCAGACTTGAGCCTTTATCTCTGCTCATGGCTCCACCTCTTGTTCCTAATATGGTCTTTCCAGCTCCCTCCACCCCATCATTGTTCTCCTGGGGGAATACAGGGTGAGACACTTTGATGGACTGACATCACCAGCAAAGAAAAATTTGGGAACAGCTGAAGCTGATTTTAGACAATGGAAAGTGGGGGAGGGGAGAGGCTCTCCCTGACCCAGAAATTTTCCACTCACTCTGGGCAGCTCTATGGGTGTTTTTAAAGAGCAGGGAGAGGGGAGCGGAGAAATGGAAATAGAGAAGGGTACTTTGGCAGTTCTAGAGTGGTGATTTTCACCTAGAAGGTCCTAGTTGCTCTTCAGTTTCCCCCTTACTTTCACCCAGACTGTGCTGGATGCTGGTCAAACTCCACTGGTTGAGTTTTACCTTTTGATTACCGGTATTAGGAGTTTGAACACAGTGAACAGGGGAGGTCATTTGTGACCCTTGACAATTCCCCCAAATCCCCAGATCAAATTACCGTGCTATTTTCAGAGTCTCTAACTGGCAGGGAGACATCATTCCTCCCCCTTAAGAGCCACAGGGATGGAGTAAGAGGGTAGGGTTGGGATCTGGAAAGCCATCCCAGAACTTCAAGTGGGGTGGGGGAGAGAGGAGGACAGAATAACCCAGATAAGATCATGCCCCTGCTCCCCTACAGTGATATTTAAATAGAACTTTCATACCCACACAGAACTTGCTCTCTACTGTCTTCTCACCCTCTGCTCCCTTCTTGCCCCCACCCCTCCACACACCCTCATCATCATAGTCATCATTACCAGCTCTGTTCTCCCTGGGTTAGTGCCAGGCCATGTTCGGTCTTCCACTTGGAGCCTTGTTACTGACAGGTGGCAATTGATCCCAGCACACTGGCACCATGCAATCTGAGAATATGACAGTGGAGGTGGGCACTGTTCAAGGTGACTAAAGCTATCAGGGAAGAATATAAATGGCTGTTATTAGTCATTATGTCAAAGATAGATGGGTAGTATTAATATTAAGCCCCAGCAATGGGGTAACTGAGACACCCACCTAGGCAGAGGGCAAAACTGGGGTCCACTCTTGAGAGCTTCCAGTCACTAGAGCTAGATAGGCAGATAGACCATCAGCTAACTCCTGAAGAAAAGCAGATAAATGAAGACCCCTACTGTGGGACTAGGGAACAAGGGAGTCCCAGAGACAGGAACTGGTGGATAACAAGGTGGGGAGGGGAGCGGGGGTATTGATTTAGGAGGAGAAAAATACAAGGACAGGAGACAATCGGATATATGTCCCTGCTAGTATAAGTTAAAGATAGAGGAAGATTTGATACTCAAATTCCAGCATTCTCCTGCTCCCACATTAGCTCTCCAGCTTAAGACTGAAAACCATTTAGGTTGTAGCCACTGGTCCTCCAGGGGGGTCCTGAAGAGAAGAGGTTTAGTAAGGACAGGTGCCCCAGAGCCTCAGAGGTTGAGGTAGGAAAGAATATGATGCCAAATTGCCCACTGCTGTAAGAATATGTTTGACATTTAGTTGGTTCCTATTTAAACAACCCAATATCAAACATATCACACAGAAGCAGGCAAGAGAGCTCTGGTGGTCATGAGCCCTCCTCCCACTGCAAAGGAAGGACAGAGCAGAGACACCAGGGGCTGAGCATGACTAGATGGAGGGCCATCTCCTTGGGAAAGGACACCGACACCTGCTCTTCATCTCCCAAGACAGCCAGCTCTTACTCATCTGCCCTTCGTGACATCCGTGTCTCGGCACCTCCTCTACCAGTGCCTGACCTTTGTTGGGTCACGCTGGCCTAAACTGGGGAGAATACCTGGCAGGGCTCCACATCCGGGCACCTATCCTTCCCCAAAGCTCCCACATGGACCTTCTCCCACTAATGTCATGGCCCCAGCGCCCAGGGGCTTAGCAGTGTCAGCAGCCTCACCAGCTGCTTTCCTCAACTCCCTGCCAGCTGCCCTGAGGCTTTGGGAGACAGGGGGGCGCAGAGCTTGAATATCCTGCTCCATCTTTCCAACAGAAATCCTAACCTTCCCAGATCACCCTCACAAGACTGCTAAGGGCCTTTCAGTGGGCACCACCCTGGAGCCTTACTTTTACATACTACAAATAAGTAGCTGTGAGAAACTTCCAGAATGCTTGGATGCTTCTTCCCACCATCATGTCCCATCTCACCTTCTCCCCATGTCCTCCAAGCATCCTTCTTTAAGTCACCCTTGGATGTCCAGAAGAGAAGAGTGACCTGTCTCATTGTCCAGCTCCACCCTGGGCTCCAGAGATCTATGGTCTCCCCTTCCTTGCAGATTGAAACCAAGACTTTAGGAGATCAAGGGTGAGGGAGAAAACCCCCTTGCCAGGAAGCAGCCTAGAGTCCTTATGACTCTCCTTCTCCTCTGGGGCTTTTTACAAGAACTCCTGGGCTGACTTCTTCAAGCATCTTCCTTCACGGGAATCCATCCTGGTTCCTTTCTGGGCAGTTTTTCTTCTGAAGAGAATCAGATCTGTTGAATGTCATGTGGCAAGTGGATGCTTCTCTACTGTGGCAGAAAGGAGTCTGAGTTAATATGGCACTGCGAGGATGGAGGGCTTGGGTGGAAGTGTGGGGGGGTGGGAGGAGAGGACAATGCTCTGCTTCGGCCTGCAGGCCTGTTCCATGTGTCCTTGTTCCCATTAATCCAGACCCCCTCCCCCCACCACCCAACACTGCCAATTCCACAGTGCCCTTGCTTTAGATCAATAGCTTGTTCCAAGCCCCAGTCAATTCCTTGTTCTGTGGCTCTTGCCACCCAGAGGAAGACTAATAAATGGGCATATAGCTCCAGGGTAGGCACCTGTGATGTTGTCTGTGTCCTTGTGCCTTTAGGGCTTTCAGTGGGGATTTGTAAAAGTTTTACTTTCTTGACTGTCCTTCTTATCCTTATTCAAGTCCTAGTGCCCTACTCTGGGAATCTTGACTACCTTGGTGAACCAAGGCTGGAGGGAGAGGAGCTGGGAAGGGGACAAACAGGAATTGAAAGGGCTTTAGTGCTTGGAGCACCAGGGAGCGGAGGCAAAGATGGAATATCGATGTAGGGGAGAGACAGCTTTCTTAGAGACTTTGACTGGCTGGCATAACTAGGCAGAAACATCAGACAGCCTCTGATGAAAGCTTTCTGGCTCTCCTGGAAGTACTTTCTGTGCAGCCATTTCGAGCAGGACATCCCTTCTGGGTCAGAGGAGATGAGTAAAGTACCAGCCACAGAAGGAGCAGGGGCTGGCTGGGTGTGACAGGGTGAACTACTCAGTTGATGTGATGAGAGTAGACAGAGTGGGTAGAGAGGATCAGAGGGGAAGGGCTCTGTGGGGACCAGCCTGCCAGTAACTGAGCCAGCCTGACACTGACAAGCCCTGGGGAGAGAGGCCAAGGTCAGGGACCAAGGCGGAGGGGGTGTGGTGAACAAAGGAAAGGGGAATAAAAGGGCTGTGGTGGGAGATGGGTGGCAACTAAGTAATGGAGAGAAAATAAAAAGGTAAAAAACTATCATAGGGCAGGAAAACATCAATGGGTTACCATTTATTGGACATTATATGCCACCTCTCTGCTAAGTGTTTTATTTAATCTCCACAGCCACCAAATGAGGTAGGTATTATCTCCATTTTACGTATAAGGAACTATGACTCAGAAATTTAAGGTAACTTGCTCAAGGCCACACAGGAATTAAGTGAGAGAGTCAGAATTCAAATCCACTGCTCTCCAGTGGTGGTAAAGCCTACCTGTTCTCCTAACACCAGGCTCTGACGCCTGAACATAAGAAGCAGGGGGCAGCTGGGAGACAGACAAGAGGGATGATGGAAGAGGTGAAGGGGAGATGGGCCTGCGGGGAAATAGAGGGTGGGCAACAGGCAGGAGGAGTGGGAGACCCAGCCTCAGGTTTGCAGGTCAAATTCAGGCCACATGAGTGGTTTTGTCTCCTAAAAAACTTTCATCATACTTGTCATTACCTGTTCCTTGTGTCCTCCAACCAGCCTGTGAGCAAGAGAGCTTGGGAAATGGGGCTACTGGGGGCTGGAGAGTGAACGGTTATATAAGGACATAAAGATAGGCATTGCGATGGAGAGTGACATCTAAATCTAAAAGCATTCAGCAAGGGACCTGTGAAGGGCTTGGGTCACAGAGAAAATTTCTGAGAGGGAACAAGGTTCAGTGTGTCAAGCACTGGGCTTCCTCTCTACATACCTTCCTTAAATCCCCGTAATGATCCCATGAAGTGGGTATTATCGCCCCATTTCCAGGAGAGGAAACTGAGGCTCAGAGAACTTACACATGATGACACACCAGTTAAGAGGTGGAGCCAGAGTTTGAATCCACAGCTGACAGCAAAGCCTGTGCCCTTCTTTTTATAGCCTGCTGCCTCGCCTCCCCACGCTCCTGATCAGAGGGTGTGTGTGCAAGAAGAAAGGAGAAGCTGGACAGCTGAGATGAAAGATGTGCATTGAAGGAAGGAGACAGACGTAGGGGAGCGGGGAAAGGAAGGTGTTAAGTTTTGCAGAGGCGACTAGGCACATGGAGCCAAGAGCAGGAAAAGATGAGCGACCAGAGAATGCGGACGGCCAGGGGGAGGACAGGGAACAGTATGCGTGTGGTGACTGCACCAGAGAGTGAGTGTGCGTTCCTGCAGCTGTTACTGGCCAGAAAATGAGTTTCTCTGGCTTGGGATGTAATGTGGATCTTTATAAGCAAGGTTCTCTGTGGCCTATACATACCTATGACCAATGGGTACTCTTCAGTATTTTTTCAGTTTGGATCCCTTTAGACTTAATGTGTTCTTTCCAGGCCCCCATACATCCCACCACTCCTTATTGCCTTACACCTGCTGTGTTACCTGCCTCACACGTGAAAGCATTTGAGTATGGAACCCTGTCATTTTGCAGAGGTGGGAATTCAGGCCCAGAAGAGAGAGATTTGTGCAAGGCCTCAGAAGAGAGAGATTTGTGCAAGGCCTCACAATAACTGGCTGACTTGAAACCTAAAATCTAGGCCTCCTGACACTCAAGCACCACAGGGCCTGTGGATTAATATCCACACTCAGAGCTGTCTGCCAAATATATGGAAAAGATCAGTGGAAGTGAGAGCTGAGAGATGGTGAGCAAAAGCCAGGAAGCGGTATCAAGATTATGGCAGCTGCAAATAACCACTCTTGAAACCAATCAAGGTTTAGGGCTGAAAGAATGAGTCAAGTGGTCTAAGTTTGAACCTTTGAGATCTAGCTTTATTTGTTAAACCAAACGATGGTTCTCTTACCCTTACATAGCATGTCCGCACCTCCCCGCCCCCCACTTACACCAACACTGCACCTCTAATTCTGACCACAGGGTGTCACTCTTGTCTTTGCCATCGCTTCATAGATTGTTTCCCAAATTGCACCAAGGGGTTGACATGAAAAGAGATGAGTGGGAGCCTTATATCCTGGGCAAACAATTAGATCCAGGTGTGTTTTGGGAAGGAAGTTCAAGGTGGAAGGGGCTCCAGGCTCAGTTAGCAGGTCAGAGTGGAAGGACATGTTTCGGATGCCATCAGAGTCTCTTCACATAAAAAGCTTTGCCCATCCGATTTAGCTCCTGCTGGTACTGCCGATACTCCTTTTCAAACAGCTGGTGCAGTGCAGCTTGACGGACCTGGCAGGGAGGGCAGAATAGAGTGTGATGTTTGCCCTCTCTTTGCCTGCCTTTCTCAGTCTCTCTCCCTGGTTGCTGTCCTACCATTCATGCTCTCTGGGATCTGGACTTGGCTGTAACATAGAGGTAGGCAACAAGAGACAGGCGGAACCATCGAGGGGAAGCCTACCCAGTTTTTTCTCCGTGGGTGAAGCCTCATGTTCAGCAAGTATTTGCTGAGAACATACCATGAACCAGGAACTGTGCTAGGCACCTGGGATACAGAGATGGTGACATGACAGCAAGTAGGGAGTCCAGGGAAGGAGGTCCAGAGTGGCAGGTGCTGGGCACTAAAGCAGTTTTTGAGCCTCACACAAACGAGAAGAGAGCAAGAACTAGACTGCATTTTGTGACTTTAGATAATGTGTCATCTGCAGCTGGATGCAAACAATCACTTAATGAAAAATTTGGCATTTGGAGTTAAAGAGTTACTGCTCTGATATAATGGTGAAAACCTCAGAGGCAAATAAGGTAGATGAGTAATGGCAGAGACTAAGAGTTTGGGAATCCCAGTGGACCAGGGCCCAGGACAGCGGTGAGTGAGACGTCAGGTCACCCTTGCTGGAACTCACGTTCAGTAGTTGCTTGTTGGCCAGAGCCAATTTTATAGCCTGCTGCCTCGCCTCCCCACGCTCCTGATCAGAGGGTGTGTGTGCAAGAAGAAAGGAGAAGCTGGACAGCTGAGATGAAAGATGTGCATTGAAGGAAGGAGACAGACGTAGGGGAGCGGGGAAAGGAAGGTGTTAAGTTTTGCAGAGGCGACTAGGCACATGGAGCCAAGAGCAGGAAAAGATGAGCGACCAGAGAATGCGGACGGCCAGGGGGAGGACAGGGAACAGTATGCGTGTGGTGACTGCACCAGAGAGTGAGTGTGCGTTCCTGCAGCTGTTACTGGCCAGAAAATGAGTTTCTCTGGCTTGGGATGTAATGTGGATCTTTATAAGCAAGGTTCTCTGTGGCCTATACATACCTATGACCAATGGGTACTCTTCAGTATTTTTTCAGTTTGGATCCCTTTAGACTTAATGTGTTCTTTCCAGGCCCCCATACATCCCACCACTCCTTATTGCCTTACACCTGCTGTGTTACCTGCCTCACACGTGAAAGCATTTGAGTATGGAACCCTGTCATTTTGCAGAGGTGGGAATTCAGGCCCAGAAGAGAGAGATTTGTGCAAGGCCTCAGAAGAGAGAGATTTGTGCAAGGCCTCACAATAACTGGCTGACTTGAAACCTAAAATCTAGGCCTCCTGACACTCAAGCACCACAGGGCCTGTGGATTAATATCCACACTCAGAGCTGTCTGCCAAATATATGGAAAAGATCAGTGGAAGTGAGAGCTGAGAGATGGTGAGCAAAAGCCAGGAAGCGGTATCAAGATTATGGCAGCTGCAAATAACCACTCTTGAAACCAATCAAGGTTTAGGGCTGAAAGAATGAGTCAAGTGGTCTAAGTTTGAACCTTTGAGATCTAGCTTTATTTGTTAAACCAAACGATGGTTCTCTTACCCTTACATAGCATGTCCGCACCTCCCCGCCCCCCACTTACACCAACACTGCACCTCTAATTCTGACCACAGGGTGTCACTCTTGTCTTTGCCATCGCTTCATAGATTGTTTCCCAAATTGCACCAAGGGGTTGACATGAAAAGAGATGAGTGGGAGCCTTATATCCTGGGCAAACAATTAGATCCAGGTGTGTTTTGGGAAGGAAGTTCAAGGTGGAAGGGGCTCCAGGCTCAGTTAGCAGGTCAGAGTGGAAGGACATGTTTCGGATGCCATCAGAGTCTCTTCACATAAAAAGCTTTGCCCATCCGATTTAGCTCCTGCTGGTACTGCCGATACTCCTTTTCAAACAGCTGGTGCAGTGCAGCTTGACGGACCTGGCAGGGAGGGCAGAATAGAGTGTGATGTTTGCCCTCTCTTTGCCTGCCTTTCTCAGTCTCTCTCCCTGGTTGCTGTCCTACCATTCATGCTCTCTGGGATCTGGACTTGGCTGTAACATAGAGGTAGGCAACAAGAGACAGGCGGAACCATCGAGGGGAAGCCTACCCAGTTTTTTCTCCGTGGGTGAAGCCTCATGTTCAGCAAGTATTTGCTGAGAACATACCATGAACCAGGAACTGTGCTAGGCACCTGGGATACAGAGATGGTGACATGACAGCAAGTAGGGAGTCCAGGGAAGGAGGTCCAGAGTGGCAGGTGCTGGGCACTAAAGCAGTTTTTGAGCCTCACACAAACGAGAAGAGAGCAAGAACTAGACTGCATTTTGTGACTTTAGATAATGTGTCATCTGCAGCTGGATGCAAACAATCACTTAATGAAAAATTTGGCATTTGGAGTTAAAGAGTTACTGCTCTGATATAATGGTGAAAACCTCAGAGGCAAATAAGGTAGATGAGTAATGGCAGAGACTAAGAGTTTGGGAATCCCAGTGGACCAGGGCCCAGGACAGCGGTGAGTGAGACGTCAGGTCACCCTTGCTGGAACTCACGTTCAGTAGTTGCTTGTTGGCCAGAGCCAATTCCTGCATCATGGTGTCCTGCATCCTCAGGATGGCATACGGGTTTCTCCTCTGGCTCAGTGTCATCTGACACAGACGAGTGTCAGAATTTCGCCACCTGCCCCAGGTATAGACATAGGAGTTGAAAGGGTTAGAGTTAAGAGTGGAGACGAAAACCCCATCAGTGAGGCTTCTTCATCAGGGCCTCTGTGCCAGTGTCAAAAGACTGAAAACTCACTGAAAAAGCCACTAGAACTGACTTAGAACCTGGTATATATTAAGTACACTATGTCATTTAATCATCCGTCATTACCATGTGTCAGATGATCAATTTCTGCATTATACAGATATGGAGAGTAAGTGTTCAGGTGAGTTGCCAAAGGGCACTTAATGGGTATCAAATCCAATCCAAAGAGGAATTCCTTCCATCTTAACCAGGGATTCTCAACCTTGGCTCACACATTTTGGAATCATTCATGAAGAATTTTTAGTACACAAAGCAATATATTTATGTGTGTGTGTCATACACACACACACATCCTCTGCTCAGATAAGCTGTTGATGTTTTTAAGAAAAATCAATTGTTTTTTATAGATGATTGGGGAATTAAATCCATACAGAAATATATAAAATGAAAAGTGAAAGCTTCATTCTTTTGCTCCAGTCCTTCTCAACAATTATCAGTTTCTTGTGTATCTTCCATGAAAATTTTCTCATATACCAAACTGTAACTTTTAATATGAAATCATACATTTACACAAGCAGTAGTAAACTTAACTTGGACTTATCATATCAGCACAGATTTGCTTCATTCTGTTTAAAGGCTGCCTAGATTTTTGTCACAATTTAACCAGCTCAGTTGTGTAGATTTTTTGTTTTTTTAATGAACAATGCTGTCATGAACACCCTTGTGTATGTACATCCTAGAGTTTTTGCAGGAATATACACATTTAAGGTAAATTCCTTTAAGTAGAGTTACCAGTTCAAAGGATATGTGAATTTTAAATTTTGATAGACTTCACCAAACTGCCTTTGTTAAAAAGGCTGCATCAATCTCAACTCCCAGTAAAATGATAAGCATTCTTATTTCACATCCTTACAACTTTGTGTATACTGTGAAACCTCAGAAAACAGGCTTTTCCTACCCAACCTCAGGCAATTTTAGTCAGCATCTTCTAGTTAAGACCTGAGTATGTTTTTCACAAAACTCCCCAGGTGAAAGAGATACACAGCCTTATTTTCTCTTCTCTTTCACTCAACAAGTATTTACTGGATATCTTTCACATCAGCAGCACAATGCCTAACAATAAATATGTGAATTCTCCTTAAAAAAATAAAAAAAAGAAACAAAAACTTCCTTCAATTTTCCTTCCGAGAGAAAGGGAAGCAAGGGGCAATAGAACCATTGTCTTTACATCTAACCTATTGGGCACTGGAAGGCGAGAACAAGAACTGCGTCTTGCTCCTCCACACCTGTTCTTGATGAGCCCCTAGGGACGGAGCAGATCTGAGGGGTGGCAGGGAGGACAGCAGGGTAAGGGCAAACTGAAGGGTACGGGAAGGGATAGCAGATTACCTGTCAACCATCTTCGTAAGTCCCAGGGCCCTTTGAAAACTCTGCAAGAAAAGGGAGTTTGTTGATCTGCCTTGATCTCCAGAACCTCACCCCCAGCACCCTGTTCTAGTGGGAGACACATAGATCTCCCTCCTTTGAGAGACAGGGTAGTCACTTTCCTATGGGAGGTAGAAAGTCCCCTTCCTTTCAGAATGGATCAGAGAACATTCAGGAGTAGATATGGAACAAATTTTTGAACACCCACTGTACCCAAGTCTTCCACTCCTATTACTATCTTTCTAATACAAGGGCCTCCTGGGAAACTGTCCTCCTTCTGGTAAATTGATCTGAAAACATCAAGGGAAGCTCTTCCAACCCAGCCCCTCCTTCCAAATCTGCATACCTCTTCAGCTTCTATCATCTTTTCCATAGACATGTGTGCAGACTTGCTCAATATGGTCTTAGAAAAATGAGCAGTCTCTCCTTTGTTTAGTCACCAAGGTTTTGGTGGTCATAGCAACATTCATGCCTCCAACAATGACCCTAGGCCTAGAAGTTGATTGGTCACCTGGCCTGTTGCCCTGGAGACCTGAAGGGAATCCTGGTTCTCCAGCATTCAATTAGTGGCACAGGCAATCCTACGAGCAAGAACCACAGTCTCAACTTTAGAATTTCTTCTGTTGGTGTCCGAAGGAGCATCCGTTTGGTCTTGGGCCCAGAGAACATACTGTATGCCTGTTTTATTAAAAGGTTCAGCAGCACAATGCCTAACAATAAATATGTGAATTCTCCTTAAAAAAATAAAAAAAAGAAACAAAAACTTCCTTCAATTTTCCTTCCGAGAGAAAGGGAAGCAAGGGGCAATAGAACCATTGTCTTTACATCTAACCTATTGGGCACTGGAAGGCGAGAACAAGAACTGCGTCTTGCTCCTCCACACCTGTTCTTGATGAGCCCCTAGGGACGGAGCAGATCTGAGGGGTGGCAGGGAGGACAGCAGGGTAAGGGCAAACTGAAGGGTACGGGAAGGGATAGCAGATTACCTGTCAACCATCTTCGTAAGTCCCAGGGCCCTTTGAAAACTCTGCAAGAAAAGGGAGTTTGTTGATCTGCCTTGATCTCCAGAACCTCACCCCCAGCACCCTGTTCTAGTGGGAGACACATAGATCTCCCTCCTTTGAGAGACAGGGTAGTCACTTTCCTATGGGAGGTAGAAAGTCCCCTTCCTTTCAGAATGGATCAGAGAACATTCAGGAGTAGATATGGAACAAATTTTTGAACACCCACTGTACCCAAGTCTTCCACTCCTATTACTATCTTTCTAATACAAGGGCCTCCTGGGAAACTGTCCTCCTTCTGGTAAATTGATCTGAAAACATCAAGGGAAGCTCTTCCAACCCAGCCCCTCCTTCCAAATCTGCATACCTCTTCAGCTTCTATCATCTTTTCCATAGACATGTGTGCAGACTTGCTCAATATGGTCTTAGAAAAATGAGCAGTCTCTCCTTTGTTTAGTCACCAAGGTTTTGGTGGTCATAGCAACATTCATGCCTCCAACAATGACCCTAGGCCTAGAAGTTGATTGGTCACCTGGCCTGTTGCCCTGGAGACCTGAAGGGAATCCTGGTTCTCCAGCATTCAATTAGTGGCACAGGCAATCCTACGAGCAAGAACCACAGTCTCAACTTTAGAATTTCTTCTGTTGGTGTCCGAAGGAGCATCCGTTTGGTCTTGGGCCCAGAGAACATACTGTATGCCTGTTTTATTAAAAGGCAACTGTAAAGGAATGAATCACATACTTTTTTTCAAATTGTTCATTTTATTAAATAATTTATAAAGCCAGACCAGTGCACTGGTCTGACCATTCCTTCACAATGTCCCAAGGTAGCCCTAGTAAATGAGGGGGAATGGGTTATCAGGTGTCAAAACATTCCTTTTTCAATTTATTCATGACAGTATGGAATGAAAGTGGAAGGGCAGATCCTTGCATGTCAGGAAGCTGTATCAATATTTCAACACATCCTGGCTTACGTGGAGTACCAGGGTAAGCTGTTCCATGTACCACTTGCAGCCTCACCTGACCTCCCCACCAGTCTGTCTGCCTTACCCATCAATCAACTCTAAGATACCTCCAATCCAAATGGTTCCCACTCAACAGTGTCCAAAGGGGCAGATATGGAAGACACCAACTCTTACCCTTACGATTACTTGTGGTCACCAAAAGGGCCAGTGAGCTATGATCAAAACCAAGTGAGGATTTTTAAGGAAACTTTGACAGAAAGAAACATTAAGAAAAACATCTGAATTCCACTCCACAAAAAAAGTACTCCCAAGGGAAAATGAAGTCTTAACTGATATTCTGAAACTGGCCATAAGAAAGGGTTGGAGAATGATTTTGTCAGCATGAGCTCTGAGAGCTCTGGACACAACAGGAGCGTCAGCTGATGCAGTCTGGGTCTGCTGAGCAGGTGACCTGAGGGCTGCCTGGCAGGCAGCTGCAGTCTGTATGGCTCCATCACAGCCAGTCCTTCAGCTCCATCACAGCGTACTCTCCAGTGTGTTATAGTTGTCCTTAAAGCTCTTCAATTCGAGGAAGTGCTTGGCACGTTTACTCTTCTGACTAGAGGGGAGGTAAGTCACCTGGATGGTTGTTGGGGAGACGTCAGGAGACTGGGTTAGGTCTTTGGCTGCTGATTGATGTTGTCGCTGAGAGCTCCCACTTCGTGCTCTGACCCTGCGGAATAGAGGTCACAGAATGAAGACTATCGAACTGCAACTGAAGGCTCATACAGCCCATAAATGCAGCGGTAGCCACAAATGGGGTCTCACCTATCTTATAAACTAGTTATTAAAAGTTCCATGTGGTAGCTTAGAAATAGCAGAAAAACCAATTTTCCCACTGAGTCTCTGCCTCTGGCTCAACTTTTTCTCCATCTCACTATACTTAAAAAATACTTTTAGTTCTGTTGACTCATCTAATCTTTGCATGCTAACTCCCAGTTCAGAGAGTCCCTTGAAAACTAAAAACCAAAAATGAAGAACTACTGAGTACTTACGTTATGACATTGAACTTACTTAATGCTTTACTAACATCTAATTTGCTAACATTCCAAATATTCCTATATGGTGGTATGATCCGTTTTGCAGGGGAGGAAACAGGATCCACTAAGTAACTTGTCTGAGGTCACAAAGCTAGCAGGTGACAGAGCTGAGATTCAAATCTAAGTTTTTCAGATTTCAGAGCCTATATTCTTTTCACTATTCCCACTGAACCTTTCTAGAAAGTAGACATCAGAGAGATTGAATTAAAAAAAAAGTTGTAGTTAAATACACAATTTACCATCATATCCATTTTTAAATGTTTACAGTTGTGTGTTCACATTGTTGTGCAACCAATCTCCATAATTTTTTTCATCTTGTCAAGCAAACTCTCTACCTATTAAACTCCCTGTTCCTCCTCCACTCCATCCCTGGCAACCACCATTCTGTCTCATGAATAGAATTACTCTATGTACTTCATATAAGTGGAATCATACAGTATTTCTTTCAAAGAAACTGAATTTGAACAGGCCTAACTAACAGATTAAATGTTCTTTTGCCATCCTCTCCACATGCTCATTTTCATGACTGTTATAAGCAGTTTTGTCTTTAGGAATAAGGTAGTTTATTTTTAGGCATAGAGAAGATAGACATACCCCTTATCTTTTGAGAAAGAGCCATATTCAACACAGCAGAAAACAGATGTATTCTTTTCATGGCTGATAACTTTTTCTTCTGAATAGGCCCTGTTCACTCTTTCATTTTAACATTTGCATAAACAATGTGACAAAGCTAAGTTAGTACACATTTAAAACATCCCAGATACAGTCATGACTCCTCTCCCGTAACACAAACACTCAACAGCTGATTCTAGAGTGATGCCCTTTGTTTCAGACAAGGCTACTAATGCTTTAGCTGGTAATAAAAATGGGTGGCATTTGTTACTTTTATCAGACCAAGATGCAAAAGGAGGACACTGGGACCCTGGAAGAGAAGGAATCTTTGTGTGCTGAAAAACATTTTCATTCCCTTTTTTGGTGTATCTGACATTTTACTGAGTTGGACCAAAAAAATAAAAAACAGGAAAAGAAAAAGAGGTACACAAAAGTAGCAGCTTTTCTACTGGCTTTGTAGAGCAGCATCTGCTTTCCAATGTGAGCGAGAGGCAAATCTAACAGTCGAGGACCTCACAACTCCTGCATTACCATGATTTGGCCTATATTGCTTTATGAAGGTCATCCCACCATGGTTAACAGTTCAGCACCAGTACAGTTTCTAACCGCCCCCCTTTAGTATGTTCCCCTCCAAACTCACACTGTGGCTAGCTCTCTCAGGGCCTCCTGATAGTGCAGGTACTCACTTTGGCCAAAGACCTGAGGAAAGGAAAGAAAAGTGAGGATCTCTCTAACTGGGCATTCCCTCAATTCCCTGAAGGACAAAAGTGGCCACCCAGCTTACCCCTGTTCCATAGCGAGCTGTCTCATAGCCATCCAGCAGGGTATCAATGAGGGCCTTGCGCACACCCTTGAAAGGAGTACTAGTGTTTCGAAGATCTAGCAGGTAGGAGCGGAAATTCTTGCCCATTAAGGAATGAGGATGCCGGCCTTCAGCATGAAATGGGATCTCTGAGGAGATAATAGCATGATGATATCCCTTCTCTCACTTGTTAGTCTTTCCAGTTAATCTCCCAAACTTAGAAATGGGTTCAGGGAATGAGCTGGGAGGAAATTCTAATAGAATTACAAAGACCAGAGGTATAGAGCTGTGTCTTAGGTGTCACTTGGCGGTGGCAACACAACTGTAAGTCAGACCAATGATATACAACAGTGTCATGGTTCTATTTACCCTCCCACTTACCCATCCTGGCTTTAACATATATACCATGTTTCGGTAGAGACAGAGCATGGAAAAAATTCAAGAACCATCTATCTTGGGCTTAGTGATAGAGCAGATGTCTCCTGTCTTCTGTGGAAAAACAAGCATATTACCACCATCCAGTTCATGAAACTAAATGTCTAAAGAGTAGAACAAAACAAATCCAGGCTCTTTGGAAAAGAATAATTTGCCTACATCATTTCCTTGTGCAAAATAGTAACCAAGTACTTTTAAAACTCTAGAGCATTCCTACTAGCTATGGATGTACAGGAGAGGCAAATTCTAATGCATATAAAAGGGGTTCCTCCCTCTTCCCCAGATGAGCTTTCAGGATCCTGAACAGCCCATTGAGTAGACCTTACCAGAGGCACGGATGGCATCCAGAGCTTTCATCCTGTACAGATAGTTGTAGCAATCTGTTGAGAAAGAGACTAGTCTCAAGCATAACCCTCAAGTGTCTCCAAACTCCAGCAAGCTAATAAATTGCCTGCCCACATCTAACATATACCTAGTAACGGGAGGAACCACAGCAGCTGGTTTTGCCAGCAGCTATGTTGACAACCCTGAGAAGAAAGGGATTCTGAAATTGTGGGACTCATCATTTGCTATATCCTCCAAGAGCATGCCACATACTCAGATTTTCCTGGGTGTCCAGCTGTAGAAGTCTTGCATCATCATCTGCAAGGAGCTGAGGTTCATACTTGATATCCTGAACCCTGGACAGTCGGATGTCAATCTCCTCTTTTAAGTCCTATTCACAGAGAAAGGAATATACAAATCACTTACCCTGTATTCTGCTTCCCATCAATCTGGAAATGGGGCAGAGCAAGTGAACTAAGACAATAGAAGCACTAAGTGAACAACTAAGACAACAGAAAATGCTCACTTGGTTAATGAAATTGTCAGATAAGACTCAAGAATTTAAGAAAGAATGGGATTGGGTTCTCTAAGAATCTCTCTGAACTGTACATTTGTCAACGAGATCTTTTAACCTGTTAGAATTCCTTCAAGCATTACAGCATCAATATTATTTCTGACTTTCAACTGTACTTAGAAGAACCCTAGTGAGGCAATACAAAGAACTTTCTGAGATGGGGGAAAAAACAGACAATTGGAAGTCATAATCTACTCTAAAAATCTATCAGGAGGTCTGTACATGGTTTATAATAGTTTGAGGACTATTCTGTCTGGTGGACCACAGGACTTCTGGAGGTTTTCTTCTAGAGCATATTTAACTTAAGTAGGTAATCCACATCCATGGTATAAAATTCAAAAAGTACTAAAGGTATATATCACCCCCCTATTTTCCACAAGTAACACTGTTAATAGTTTCATATTCACCTCTTATTTCAAACAGTTCCCAGAGCCCCAGCAAGTAGATTTTTTTCCTATGACTTAGAAACTTCCATGTGAAATATAGCCTACACAGAATACATATAAGCCATACTACAAAGCTACAGTAATCAAAACAGTATGGTACTGACACAAGAACAGACCCACAGATCAACAGAACAGAATAGAGAGCCCAGAAATAAACCCATACACATATGGTCAATATATGATAAAGGAGCCACATACATACAATAAATGGAATTCGGAAAACTGGACAGCTATTTGCAAGAGAATGAAACTGGTCTGCTGTCTAACTCCATACACAAAAGTAAACTCAAAATGTATTAAAGACCTAATTACAAGACATGAAACCATAAAACTCTTAAAACAGGCAAAAATCACTTGAACACACACATGAGCACTTTTTTCCTGGACACATCTCATCAGGCAAGGGAAAATAAAAGAAGTGGAA